TGTGGTGACCCCCAACCATAAAATTATTTTTGTTGCTACTTCATAACTGTAATGTTGCTACTGTTGTGAATTGTAATGTAAATATCTGATATGCAGGATGGTCTTAGGCGACCCCTGTGAAAGGGTCGTTCGACCGCCAAAGGGGTCGCGACCCACAGGTTGAGAACCGCTGATTTATACAGATGGACTGGAGCTCAGAGGAGAGAGGAGAACTGGCGATGGAGACCTGGAGGTCTTCAGGGTAGGGATGGCAGTGGAACTGGAAGCCATGGGTGTGATGAGATGGCCTCCTAGGCCCTAGGGAGTGTGCCTGGGGTGCGAAGAAAGAGGACCCAGGATTGAGCCCTGCAGGACTGTTAATGTAGGGGGAAGAGGAAGAACCTGAAAACGCATTGGAGCAGGGGCCACCTGGGAGGTGAAAGGGAAACCCCGTGTGACCATATCAGGAGTGTGTGTGGTTTCAAGAACGCGGGAGTGGCCATCAGTGTCAATGACGCTGAGTGGTCAGGTCACACGGAGGAAGTGAGGGAAGGCAGTCCTTTCAATCATTCGCTGTGTAGGGTTGCGCAGAGCATAGGTGCTCCTCCTGCATCGGGGTCAGCTGCCTTTTCTTTAACTGTAGAAACGTTTCCTTAACTACCGACCTGCAAGTAGTCCAAGGACATGAACTGGGGGTGTGGGTTTGTGGGTGTCCAATTTAAAATCGCATCAAAGTGTCCTTCTGCTTGAGTCAGCAGGACACCCCCTCAGGCCAGTGGACTGTGTTACCCGTCTGCCGGTAGCATTTGATTTCACCATAGGAGCTTATGTTACCTTTCAATGATTTTCCCCTGTGTTATCCCAGGAGAGGTAGGATTCCATTATGTATTCCCCTCCTCCCTGGAAGGGAGAGGGTGAGAGAAAGGAGAGGGAGTGGCCAATTTCAGCCAATCTTTTAGAAGACCCTCAATACCCTCTTTGTCCCCTAGCCTCCATCGTCACAAATTTCTAAGAGAGTTGTCCACACTTCCTCAAATTCCATCTCTAAGCTACCTTCCCCTTCATGCACCTTGGTCTCATCAAAGTCACCGATGGCCAACCAACTTAGAGACCTAAGTCAAGTTCCACTGTGAACTGGTGGCTACACTTATTTAACCTCTGCGACCTCCTTGGGGGGTGGGTAACATAGTCCCATACGACTGCTGAGGGCACTGAGGTTCTGATGGTTAAGCGGCTTGCCCAAGATCACACGTGGTAAAAGGGGCAGACTCTGCCCCCTTGAAACGCAGGTGTGTCTGATGCTGGTCATGTTCTCCCTTGGTTTATAGCTGACTGTTCCTCCATGGTCAGAGCTGGAAGGGCCTCTGAGACCCTAGGGCCCCATCTACACCCTCCTGAGATGGGAAGACAGGCCCAGAAAGGGGCCAGACTAGCCCAAGGTAACATAGGGTGTAAGGTGCAAAGTCAGGACTCAAAGCGAAAACTGACCAGTGGAGCCCTCTGGGAGCCTAAAGACACCCCCTCCCTCCCCCAGGCTCTTGTTAGAACATGCCAGAAACCATGGTTTTGGGCCCTCGGGAGTCAGGAAAGCTCTGGCCTTTGGGCAGCTCACTACGCTCTTGGAGCCTCCATTTTTGTGTATGTAAAAAGGGTCAATTATTGGGAGACTTGAAAGAGACATAGGTTGGCAAGGCAAGTCCACTGTAAACCTACAGACTGCTCAGAGGTCATAGACCAAAGCTCATTCTGGGCTCTGGAGCCTGATTGCCTAGGCTCAGATTCAGGTTTCTATCCCTTATACTAGAGACCTGGTGCACAAATTTGTGCATGGGTGAACATTCAGGTTTTATCCCTTATACTAGAGGCCTGGTGCATGACATTCGCGTACTCAGGGGGTTCCCTCAGCCTGGCATGCACCCTCTCACAGTCCGGGAGCCCTCGGGGGATGTCTGGCCGGCTGGCCCTGATCGGGGTGTGGAGGGCCAATGCGGGTAGGGCCGGCCAGAGGGAGGGGCCCCGGGCGGTTGGCAGGCTGTCCCCACCCCCTGGTTGAACTACCGGTCAAGGGGACAATTTACATATTGCCCTTTTATTATATATACTAGAGGCCTGGTGCATGACATTCATGCACTCAGGGGGTTCCCTCAGCCTGGCATGCACCCTCTCACAGTCCGGGAGCCCTCGGGGGATGTCCGACTGCGGGGAGCAGGCCTAAGCCAACAGTCAGACATCCTTAGCGATGCCACAGAGGCAGGAAAGGCTCCCACCACTGTTGCTGCACTCACCAGCAATGAGCCTGGCTTGTGGCTGAGCAGGGCTCCTTCTGTGGGAGTGCACTGACCACCAGAGGGCAGCTCCTGCATTGAGCATCTGCCCCCTGGTGGTCAGTGCATGCCATAGCGACCAGTCTTCAGTCGATTTGCATATTAGCCTTTTATTACATAGGATAGGATAGCCTGTCACCTTGGGTAAATTTGTGTGCCTTAGTTTTTCCCATGTGAAATGGGAATAACAGTACCTACTTAATAGGGCTGTTGTAGGAGTGAAGCACTTGAAATAGTCACTGGCACATAATGACCACAGTAAAGCTAGCTTTTATTACAGGTTTAAAGCATTTTCTAAATCCAGACTACACCGATTTTTTCCATGCCCCGCCCCCTCCAACAGGCCCCACCCTCGTCCCCATTGGTTCCGCCTTCTCCTTCCCAGGTCCTGCTGCAGCCCGCCGGGTTCCTCCCGACACCAGGGGGCGCGGCGCTGCAGGGGGCCTTCTAGCGAAGCGGGCGACGCTCTAGGCAGCGGAGGAGGCTGCTCTGTGGCAGGGGCGGGGG